CTTGCCGACAAGCGGCACGTCCAGGGAGGTGGGCGGCACGATCTTGGAGATGAGCAGCAGGAAGACAGTGAGTGCCAGCAGCACAGAGATGCACAGAGTCATCTTCTCACCGCAGTCGGATGGCAGGTAGAAGACAAGGATGGCTAGGGACGTGATAAGCACGCAGGGGATGATGAGGTTGATGGTGTAGAAGAGTGGCTTGCGGCGGATGATGAAGTCGTAGGTGATGTCGACATAAGTGGAGTCGTCCGGGTTCTCGTTGCGCCGGCCGGGCAGTGCCACAATGTCCCACTCGCCGCTAGGTGTGAAGTCGTCCAGGCTGGCCACGTCACTCTTGAGCACCAGGTCGATCTCAGTGCGGTCGTAGGTCCAGGAGCGGAACTTCATGGTGCAGTTCTGCTGGTCAAACGGGAAGTGCTTCACTTCGATCTTGCATGCGCTCTTGTAGATGGCAGGTGGCAGCCAGAAGATGCTGCCATCATAGGAGACCACGGCATTGGAATAGAAGGACACCTCATACATGCCATCAGCACTGCCAAGGGACAAGCACAATCAGCCCTGGCCTAAGCATTCCTCCAACCCACCCATCAACCCAGCCCTGAGTGGGAAGAGAGGAAAACCAAAGGGAGTTATGGGAAAAGGGTAACCTTCTAGGAGTATAGGGAGGTGGAGCAGGAATTGAGCAAGAAGGGGATCTGGGTGGGTTGGTGGGGAGAAGAGGTGTCCTGGTCAGGAGGCCTTAAGGGCCAGGGAGGCCAGAATGAGAAGGAGCCACAAGAAATAAGGGAGGACAGATGCAGGTGGGAGCAGGAGATGGTCCCACTAGTGGTTTTGGATCTTGGAGGTAAGAGGGATTATTGCAAGACAGAGGACGGAACATGGAGGAGAAACTGGGCCCTCCAAGTTCTTTGATTCTGCCCATTTCTCCAGGAAATGCTATTCTTTAATCAGTTCAAGCACTGGAGGCTGTCAATCCTTGTTTGTATCCCACTGCAGCTCCAAATACTGGGAATCCTAATTGGCTGGAAGGGGGCTAGCATGGTCCAAGTTACCTTGGCTGTCCACATTCTCTCACTGGCCTGGGTCTGTCTGTCTGGGTAGTGACTGGTCTGTGCCAATGAAATGTCCCTTCTCTCCCCTGGCATGAGCTGATTTCCTCTCCCCAAGACCTGAGCACTCCCATGGTCTCCTCCATTGCTCCAGGGTCACCTACTTGTTGTATAGGACCACATCTGGGAGCCAGATGTGTTTGGAAGGGAGCCGAACTTTCTTCATGTTGTCAAATTCCTCAGGCTTCCAGGTGAGGCGATAATCCTCCCACTCCTGGGGAAGGGAGAGAGGGAGGCAGCACCAACCTCTGCCCTGGGAGGGGCTCAAGGTCAAGAACAGGGGCAAGAGGAAGCCTATCTGGCTTGAGGAGGTTTTTAAAAGCCATTGCCTCCCCACCATGGTTTCTCTACCAGCAAATGTGACTTTCTCATTTAATTTGCATAGCTAAACCAAGATATTAGAATCCACATTTGACAATGAAAAAATGAATCTTGCAGAGTTTAACATATTCAAAGTCACAGAGCTGGTGAGTGGAAGAACCAAGATTCAAATCTAGCTATTTTGGACTCCAAAGTCTATACCTTTCTGCCTCTCCTGAGGAGATTAAAAGGGGTAAAGCACATGCCAAAAAAGAAAAGAATAGAATAGAAAGGGGGAAAGAGAAGCCCAGGGATATGGGCAGGAAGAGCACTAACCTGGGTCAGCCAGACATTGGTGGTCATGACCTGCTCCCGCTCATGCTGGGGGAAAGAAGAGATGCTGCTCAGAAGCCCACCCACCCCCTCAAGCCTGTGGGCCTGTTACATACACCACCCACGCTCCCTCCCACACCTCCCCAAGCCTTGGGAACTCCAGAAGAAAAAAAAAATGCATTCTGGCTGTGTTGGCTTCAGAGAGTTTGGGACCCCACCCCCGACTCACCACACTGATGAGCTGGGCTAGTGATACCATGAGCTGTACCGTCACCAGCTCAGAACCATTGGTGGCTGGGCGGATAAGCTTGTTATAGCGCGAAGGATCCAGGAGATGCTCCACCAGTCGCTCCTCTGTGTCTGTACCCCAGACTCCTGAGTGGGAGGTAAGTACGTAGGCAAGGAGGGCCTACCCAGGATCCCACTCTCCCTAGGCAAGTGGGGCAACCTAGCCACAACAGGAAGCTATAGCTTCCCACAGCCCCATCCTCAATGCTTAGGTCACCCAAGTGGAGGCCTCTCTTAGAGAAGTCCCTCTCTGAGATCACTGACCAAGGAGCCCAGACAGCCCCACACACATGCCCCCAGACTAAGAACCCATTTGGCAAGAATTAGTGGAGATCTGCTCTTTCTGCAAGGTCTCAGACAGTGGCTTCAAAAGACCTGAGATTTCTGTTTCCATGGCTTCTCCTAGAAGATTCCTACAATTCAAGAAGATTTTGGAGGGTGGTGAAATGGGAACAGTTATTCGTGTCCCATCATACAGCCTTTCTCCTCAGTGCCCATCTATGTGGCTGTGACCGTCTCACCCCAAGGGTGCTGGGTTGGAGTAGAATATTTGGGCTGCCTGAGCAGTGGGTCAGGGCATATATTTAGTCCCAAGTTCCAAGCATACAGGAGCCCACCTCCCATGAGATTGCAGACAGGTGTATCGAAAGTGCATTTAGTTGTATATTCCTTTTGCACCTGCCCCTCAACACTATCTCCTGTAACTCTGCACGAAGCCTCCTCAGAGACTCCTCCCTGGCCCTCAGCCTGGCAGAGCCTCTTCCCTTTCAAGTCTCTTGTCCACCCTACAAAAGAGTTGAGAAGTTGCTTCTCTCTCCTTCCTCCCTTGCCCCTGTAGAGTGAGCAAAATCAAGAGTCCAATGTTCTTGGGGGGATAGGAAGTGATGGGGACCCAAGGGAAGGTGCTAAACCAGGTAGATTTTCTTGAGATAATGTTTCACAAGAACTCAAATGGCATCTCAGCTGCAACCAGTCTCCTCTTCCTGCCAACCAAGAAAACCTGGGGAGAGCCCCTCCCTCTCTGTGCCCACACCCTCTCCATCACCATTGCCCAAGTTGCCATCTCTTCCCAGCATCACCTCGGGTATGTCCTCCTCCCAGGTACTCCCTGCAGTCCCGGGGGGATGGGCGGGGGGGTGGTTGTAGAGGGGTGTCTCTCCCCTAACCCACAGCAGACTCCCTCGCCTCAGGGATCCCTCCTTTCCACTTTCGACCCCGACAGGGGTGAAAGAACGCGGCGACCTGCCCTTACCTGAGCACAGCCCGAGGAGGCCGAAGCAGATGAGCATCGCCATGGGGCCCGAGCGCCAGGCCATGCCTCTGGCATAGCTTGGAGTCTCGCCTAAAGCGGCCGGAGCGCGCCGCGGGCTGGAGGGCCGCGGGCGGGACGCTGTCCGTGGTGCTGAAGTCTCTCCCTCTCCACTGGCTCCTGGCTGGATCTGAGCTCGCGTTGTGCTCGCGACCTTTGGTGCTGCTGTGCCGGCGGTTCCTGGCGCTCAAAGAGCTGGCTGCGAGAAGGAACTAGCTTCTCGCTTATCCCAGTCTGAGCAGGCGGAGGCTTTTCCGGCTGCTCTTCCAGGGAATACAATTGGGACGATGAGGGGGAGGAGTCTCCGCTCCGGAGGCGGAAGCACCAGAGCCCAGAATAAAAGGGGGTCACTGGGTGGGAAGTTCTCTGCTAGTCCTGCTAATTAAGGTGTACGTGAGGCAGAAGAAGGGCGGCTCATGGGACGGTAGAGGAGTTCTAGAGCCCCGAAGGTGGGACAGGACCTGGAAAGGTCTGAGAAGGTGCAAGAAGAAAGCGCGAGTAAAACAAATAGGTCAGGCCTCGCTTAGCACGGGGGACTGAGGGCCAGAATGAGCGGAGCGGGAGTTGGGAGTTTCTGGGGTTCCCGTCTTCCTCGTTTTCTCTTACCAAACCCATAAGATCTTGCTTCCTGGGAAGACTGAGGATGTAGCCCAGAAAATGCATTTTAGGCCCTTAAAGAAAGAGACAGGCGGATATAGGTTTGCTATTTTAAGAACGCAAACAGTTTTGGAGTCTGGGAACAGGATCCTCTCACCTGTTCTTTATTTCCCTCCATAAGCTCCCTAAAAGGCCAGGCCTCCTGCCCTCCGCCAAGGGAGCTAAGGACGGAACATCTGGACATGGCCTGAAAAGAAGGCAACCTTCAAGAGTGGAAAGGTAAGTGGCCCCTATCAATTAGCCTTTCTCACTCACATTCCCTTCCTCTCTAGTCTTTGGCTTCTGTGTGACAAGGGGGATCAGAGGACTATTTCACAGAGGCCAGCCTGAGAATGAAGCTAACACAAAGGAGAGCAAAGATGAGACAGAGAGAGGTGTCAAAACTCAATGACATCTTTGATCTTGAAAGCCCTGAACTTTTAGCTTCTGAGCCAATAAAGGCTTCCTTTTTTTTTTAAGGTAGATTTTTCTCACTTTCAACCAAAAGATTCCCAACTAAAGCAGCCTTATCATACATCAAGGCTCTGTCTTTTTCCATCTCTGCCTAATTCTTCAGCCTCCTCTGAGCCACAACCCCCAGCCCCACACTCCTATTGGCAGTGACTTTAAGATCCTTGAACATTCTGTCCCTCCCATCCTCCACACTTCAGGGCCTTTTAAACCTGTAGTTCCCTTGGTTATTTTGTCATTCATTTTCCCTTAACCACCTTCTACTTAACTTTGAACATCTGTCAGAAATATTCCTCAAGGAAGCTATGCCTGACCAAAGATTAGGTCAGGTGCCATGCTACATGTTTCCAGAAGGTGTCCAATGAGTAAATGAATCAGTCTAAGGTGGTGGCTGCCTTTTCTGCTAGATCATGAACCAGCACAGTGCCTGGAATATTGGGAGGGCTCAACAAGTAAGGAAGAGGGCTAGTGTAGGACTGAGACCTTTTAACATATAGAGGAAAATTCCTCTCTAAAAGCAATTTATTTAACATGCCCTCAGCTCCCAAAATTGAGAAGGAAAAGCAAGACAGGTATCAGCAAAGGACTAGAGAGGATGTGGGATGACTACAGGCCCCATAATGCATGTGGAAGTGGCCATAAATTTGCACCACAAACTCCAGGGCAGATGCATGCATAAACATGTAATAATCTCTTAAGAATTCAAGAAACCTTGGAACCAAGGGAAGAAGTGGAGAATAAAAGCCTTAAGGAAAACAGAAGGAATGTGTGCAGTCACTCTGCCTTGGAAAAGGGTCAAAGGTGGGAAGAAGACTCCCCTTCAACAATTCAGATCATTTGTTGGGTATCTACTGTAACCGGTGTTTAGGATGCAGCGATCAAAAAGACCTAGCCCCAGCTATTAAGGTGATCACAGTCTGGCAGCAAAGACATTACACCATGTGGTGGCTGCTCCACTAGAGACATAAACAAGGTACTGTGGAAGCTCAGAGGAGGGAGTGGTTAAGAACATCTGAGAGTCTGGAGGGGATGGGGATCAAAATTGAGATTTGAAAGATGAGAAAGCCCATAAGACAAAGGGGGCTTAAAGGCACTTCAGACTCCTGAAAGAGAGGGACAGGGAGATTTACCTGTGGATTGGACTTACTATTTTCCTCTTTTGGTGGACGCTGGGTGATTGAAGAAGGCTGTGAAAGTCTTTTATGATAATCTCTCTCTGGAGTGATTGCCTGTCTCTAGTTTGACAGACTAGGTCATTTGCTTGCTTGAAGCCCTGGGTCACTCCCTGCAGCTCCTTTCAGGTAGTCCAGGCAGCCTGTTCACCTTGGCCTCTACTTTTTCTCTTCAGATTGCCTAGCTTTTACTTCAATTTAAATTCCAGACTGACAGCACAACCACCCAGTGGCTGAGGAAAGATGGAACTCCTACCCTGTCTCCCTCTTGTCTCCCACACGTACTCCTTCCATATCCACCAGGAAAAGAGACAGCTAGGGAGAGAGGACAGGTCCAGAACCATGCAGGGCAAGGGATACATGCAGAAGTATCAGCCCTGATATTAGCAAAATAGTGACCAGGCAAAGTTTTGGTGGGACCTTCCCATTGCCTCTGATGGTAAGGAACATTTTTCTCTTAAAAGGCATTGCAGTGTTATTTTCCTTTATTTAAGATATTTTAAATTTAAAAATTTATTACCAGAGGAATACATATTCATGAAGACCAACTGAAAAACACAAATTAGCAAAACACAAAATTGATTCATAATATTACCTCCTAGAAAAAATTGCCATTTAACACTTCACATATATGTATAGCTCCAAATTTGTCTATGTATACTTAGATATACATGAAAAAGTACACAAGTTATAAGTTTATAAATTATATGCAGCTAGATATAGTTTCACAATGTGAGCACAGACATATAACTCCCGCCCAGGTTTTAAAAAATAGAACACTACCAATATCCAGAAGCCCCCCACTACGTTCCCTCCCAGTCATTATTCCTTCCTCTTCAAGAATAACATCATGGGGAGTGACTACTTAATGGATACAGCTTAAAGTTCTGAACTAGGTAGAGGTAATGGTTATACAACTTTGTGAATGTATCAAATGCCAGTAACTGTACGCTTTAGAATGGTTAAAATGGTAATATTTTATTTTATGTATAGTTTCCCACAACTTAAAAAAATGACAAAAAAGGTAAACACTGTTCTGACTTCTAACATAGATCGACTTAGCTTGCTAAATTTTACAGAAATAGAATAATAGTCTTTTGTGTTTTTTTAACATTATGTTAGTAAGAATCAAGGACATTGATTGTAGCTGTCATTCATTCATCTTTATTGCTGTAAAATATTCCATTGTATGGATATAATCATGTTTATCCATTCCCCTACTGATAATTTGGATTGTTTTCTATTTTGGGCTATTAAAAATAATACCCACCATGAAAATTCTTATTCATGTTTTTGGTGTACAAATACATGTATTTTAATTTTTTTGTTTGTTTTGAGGGGAGGGAGTTAGATTTGTTTGTTTATTTATTTGTTTATTTAAATGGAAGTACTGGAGATTGAACCCAGGACCTCGTGCATGCTGAGCATGCACTCTACCACTGAGTTATACCCTCCTCCCCAATTTATTTTTTTAAAAAGGAGCACACTGTAAAATAGCTTTGTAACCTTCCTTTTTCATTTACTATTTCTCAAAATCTCTGTATTCCAAGTAAGTGTTCTTTGATAACTATTTTTAATAGTTGCATAGTATTCCATTGTAGGTAAATGTTTGCACATACCTTCAACGATTTCTAAGTGAAATTGCTAGATCAAAGGTTTTTCAGGGTTTTTTTTTTTATTATTTAATCATTTATTGCTAAATAGACCTACAAGGGGGGAGGATATGGCTCAGTGGTAGAGCATATGCTTAGTATGCACAAGGTCCTTGGTTTAATCCCCAGTACCTCCATATAAATAAATTTTTAAAAACTAATTACCTCCCTCCCTCAAAAAAAAAAAAGATTATTAAATCAATCTCCAGAAGGACTGATACTATTAGGATTACCCTGGGCCTCAGGCTAAAGCAGCAATGACTAACACTTCTGCAAGCTTGCTGTGCTGAGCCCCCTCTCTGTCCTCCTCCCTTCTTCTCCTAAGTCATTTCTCCTTTGTCTTAGGCCTTTCTTCCTAACCTCCTTCTACTTTAGGTCCAATTCTTTCAGAACATCCCCCCGATTTCCATCTAAGTAACTTCTACTTTCTCATTCTTTCTTGGGAGTTAATCCTGACTACCATTATCCTTCAAAATCCTTCCCCTCCTTATTCCCGATTATTGTATTTGTCACATTGTATACAGTTGACTATATCTGGCTCCAGTTCATCCATTACCATGTGCTCCTAAGAGCAGGAGTAAGAAATACAACAAAAATGCTAAAATGAGTGGCAGCTGTCATGTCAGGAGCCCCTCTTCTATGCCAGAAATCAAGCCAGGCTCTCTCCACAGGGACCATATCTTATTCATCTCTGCATCCCTAGTGCTCACTACACTTCCTGGCAAAAAGTGCTCAGGATGTGTTTGTTGAGTCAGTGACAGAATGCTATGCTTCTGGGAGCAAGTCAAAGGAGAAGGCTGCTCACTCTGCCCCAGACAAGTGCATCTGTTCACTCTGGTAACACATGACCTTTGGGAGGGGAAAAAAATACCTCTACAATTCATTTTCCATAGAGCAGTCAGAGTGATCTTTTAACATTTTAAATCAGATCATGCCACTCCCCGCTTAAAATCTTTCAATCGTTTCCCACTGTGCTTTGAATAAAACCCAAACAACTTAACGGCGCTCTCCATCATCTAATCCCGCTTTTCTTCACTGGCATCATCTCCTATTTCCCTTATTCTTCTCTCACTAGACTCAAGGTATGCTGATCCTCTCTTTAAAAAAAAAATGAGCTCCTACTATGTGCACTGTTCTGAGCACTTTTCAGGTTTATCTCACTTAACCCTCCCAACACTCTTATGTGGTAGGTACTGCTACAGTTTCCGTGTTGTAGACGCAGAAAGTGAAGCATGAGAGGCTAAGTAACTCGCCCAAAGTCACACCACTAACAGCTGGCAGAGCTGGAGTCAAAGCCCATGCTCTCAGCCAGTACAGCGTGAGCTTCCTGCTTCTGGACCACACCATCTGCATTCTCACTCAGGGTCTTAGAGGTTGCTGCTCTTTCTGCTGAAATGCTCTTTGCCAGTCCCTCCCAGGCTTGCCTTCTCTTTATCTGATCTCAGCTCAAACACCACCTTCCTAGGGAAACTTCCCCTGACTCCTGGACTTAAGTCACCCCCAGTCACTCTCTCCTGTATGACTTTAATTCCTTGCATCTACCTACCAGTCTGCTATTCCTCTGGTTATTTTATCCATTTGTTTACTGTCTAACTCCTTGCACTTAGAATATAAGTGCCATGGGAGCTGGGATACTACCGTCTACTGCTATATTTTGTACCTTGACCAGTGCCTGACACAAAGCAAAGCCCCATGCATGTTTCCTGAATGGTGGGTACCTCTTGGCTTTGTGGCAGTACAGTAATCATTGCATTTGCTGAGCAATGTACTATGTGCCTATGTTAATTATCTTACATAACCCATTTCATTTCAACTGGTACAATGACCATGCTGGAGGGCAGAGTATTATACCCAGTTTACAGATGAGGAAACTGAGTTTCACATAAATTAAATATCATGCCCAAGGTCCCACAGCTACCAAAGCAGAGGAGCTCAAATCCGAACCCAGTCTGTCTGACCCCCCAGTCTGTGCTCTTTCCACTCAGCTGTGCTGCCCCCTTTATGGTCTAATTCAAAGGACATCTGTAGCTGACTCTCCAATTAACACCAATGATTCTATCTCTCTCCTAAACTCAGAACCCACACCCCACAGGATGTCCAGCAGATTGTCCTATGTTCCCCTCCCTCCACACATTCAGTATGTTTATAACCCAACTCTTTCCCTTTCCCACAAAATTCAGCTCTCCTTTGAGAAGTCTTACTCTCCGTTAGTGCTACTACTATTAGTTACTCAGGCATCCAGAGCATCTCAAAATTCTAGTGATTTTTTTGATCTTCAAATAAAGCCCAAATGCCTAAACATGGTTTTGAATACTTGCCAAGATTCAACCTCTGCCTAGCTTACCTGCATACTTCTCTCTTCCTCACTCTAGACACAGGCTGTTTTTCCATTCCTCCAACTTGCCACAGTCCCACCCCAAAACCTTTGCACATGCCATCCCTTCTGCCACAGACAGCATCTAGCCCTTCCTCATCCCTTGGGTAATTTTATTTATCCTTCAGAACTTAGCATGTCACTTGTTCAAGGATGCCTTCCAAGATCTCCAGTCTTGTTCTTCTTTGAGACACTTACCATAATTGCAATTAAGTTGTTGATGTGTAACAACTCATGAAGTGTCTGACTCTCTCCCAGAGACTGGGTCTGTCTCATTCAGTGCTGCATCCCCAGTGAGTTACATGTAGGAGGTTCTCAGTACGTCTTTGCTCTTCTCTCACATCCAATGAGTTTGCTTTGTAGACTCCACCTTATCATGTCTCATGTCTGTTTCCCCCAAAGAATGTAAGCTCCGAGGGCAGGGGTTTTTCATTTTATTCACTCCTGTTTCCCTAGCACCCAAGTATTCATTAAATGAATATATCCATAACTCCCTTTCCATTCCTAATGCCCCAGCCCTACACATCTCAGCAGAACACCAGATATGACGCCCCACTAGGCTTGCAGATGCCAATGGACTCTCCCAGGGAGCTGAAATGCTGAACAGACCAGCACAGGAAGCAACAGAACTTATCTCAGTGACCATGACTTGAGTTTCCTCCCTGGGGGACTTGGAGTCTGTGCAACATTGTGAGACTGTCTCATGTTCTCTTCTAATTAAAGCTCTTTATAACATATGGAATTCAGGATCTTCCAAGTGGCTTCATTTGTGGGTTTTTTGGGTAAGGGCTAGAGGCGGGTAGCCCCTGGGAGCATGTGGCGCCTGATCACTTGACTTCTTGAGATGCATCAGAGGAAGGCAGAGGTGGGTAAGGCATGGATTTTGGAGACATGCCCAGGAACTCTACTTACTAGCTGTATATCCTTGGGCAGAGACTTCTTTTCCCGCTTGTAAAACAGGGATAAAAATGTTGCAGTGTTGTTGGGGGAGGAGGGTGGGTAGAAATATTTGCAGGATACCTTGACTCACGAAGTGCTCAATAAATGGGAATTCTTTTTTTTTAACTGATATAGAGTTGAGTTAGAATACTGCTAGTTTCAGGTGTACAGTGAAATGATTCAGTTACATTTTTTTCAGATTATTTTCCACTGTAGGTTATTATAAGATATTGAATATAGTTCAATAAAGGGGAATTCTTACCACAGCCTTTTATGCTCCCAACTTGCACATACAGACAGAGGTGACATATAGCTATTCAGTCTCCCCGAAGGAGATAAACGGCCTCAGGAGGACCAGGAACACATCTCAATCATCTTTAAATATCCAGGGCCCAACTTAGGCAAAGAAGGTCTTTATCAACAGCCACTGATGACTTAAATGAGTAGCCCAGCACCACGGTGCAGGCGACTCCCAACAAAGGCTAACTCATTTTAGTCCGAGTGGGAGAAGAAAGTGGCAATCTGGCCAGCTGCACAACTGCAGACTTGGCTCGGGAGAAACCATTAGGACCTAACACAGGCTAACACCTGCCCTTGGCAGGGGCAAGCCGGCTCCGAGTCTCTGGAACCTCAGCCAGCTTTGTCCTTTGTGATAGTGCCACCTAGCGAGACCCCGGAGGCACTGCCGCCTACTCCCGGTAATGCCAGGACCACTGCGACAAGGTGTCAGCCAGTTAGACTTGGGACTGCGAATGTGGTCCGCCGGAGCCTGTCACCTTCCATCTTATTGCTAGGCTTAGAGTAGTACGCACTCTTCCATGCCCTGCAGAGGAAACCCGTGCCGTACCTCCCCCATCCTCGTCCAGACCCAAGGGGTCCGATAAGCGGGAAGGCTCAGCTATCCACTACGCGCCATACATAATTGGCCAGCTATCACTTCGTGGTCTCCTCGCATCGAATCCGTGGGAGCAGGCATAATAGTATTACATCCATCAGAGTCATTGTACAGATGAGGAAGCTGAGGGAAGGTGGTTAACCCAAGGTCACAGAACACCCCGGCAGGGCCTGGACGATAACCCAAGCCTCCTGCAACTGGGTCCTCGGCTCCTTCCCCAATCACACGCCCCTCAGTGTGTCCCCAAGTGGACAGAGGCTCGGGGGGCCCCAAGCCAAAGAACAGCGTGAGGACGCAGGATAAAGACAGTACAGCCGCGACCGCTGCTCTCCCTTTCTTCTCTGCCCACAGAGCCCCAGGCACGTTCACCCCGGCTCTAGGCGGGGGAAGAGGGGCCCAGAGCAGGAAACAGGGTCCCGTGCGGGTAGCCCCTGGGAGCACGCGGCGCCTGATCACGTGAGAGGGGAGCGCCGGCGGGTGCCGTCGCGCGCACGCACGCACGCCGTACGTAGACACGCACCGAGGCGCTGAACGCCGCGAG